TAACCAGCTAAGCAAGGATATTTTGATTAATAAGTTTAAAATAATGGGATCGCTGATTGTTTTATTTAATTTCTTCTAAATCTCAAAGACTCTTTTTTCTTCGTACTTATTTAATCAAATGTTTTTCATAATATTTATCCAAAAAAAATGTTTTTCATAATGTAAATGTGACATTCGATTAATCTAGATCGGGTATCGCAGAGGTGAGAGCGACCCTCCTAAATTATTTTGTTATATTCGCAAACGTCAAGATTTTAACCCATAATCTTGCTTAAAAAATCTAATGTCTCATCTCACTAAAATAATTTGTTGTTGGTTGTAATCAAATCTATTAAAATATGAATTGTGATGTAAGGCGTAGATTAGTTTTTATATTTATTTATTTTGCAATCATACTTATATGTAGGGATGGATTGAGAGGCGGACGAGAGCGGTCGTCCCTAAAATTTTAAAATTAATTCATATTTTAAATTTTTTTATGTATTTTTTATAAAATAATTATTTTCACCTCTTAAAATTTTATAAATTTAAATTTATCCTTCTAGAATTTTATAACCTTAAGTTCGCTATATGTGTCTGTCCTGCTTATATGTTCTCTTTTATTTTAATATTTGGGGAAAATGCTGTTTATAGGCTTTGGCATCCAATAACTCTGCTAAAGCTTCAGCAATCAGCATTATTCGTTAAAAATTACTATTTAGTATTTGTACTTAAGCAAAAGCACTTAAATGACAAAATTATCCTTCTGTTCAACATTCATTCAAAGGGTAATACTGTATTTGGCCCATTAAAAATTTATAACACCTTTAAATAAACTAATACCTAGTCCCTCTACGTACGACATATAAATGGACGCGTGGCTGTCAGTGGTCCCCATTAAAGATAAAAGCCAATTGTTTTTAGACAATATTTTTATTAATATATTATGTTATTAAAGAGTTATAAAATTATTCTATTACTATAATTAATTGTTTTGTTAAGTTACTTTGCTATTAAAAATGTATGAAATGATCACACGATTATTCACGTATTTAAAACTTGTCATTTTTTATTAAAAAATTGATGGACGTTTAAGTTAGATGTTAATCTATTGACTCGGATATGATAAAATATAATCTCAAAATCTCAAACGACAATACAATTCAAATGGTTCTGAAATCAGATTTTATCATATCATAATCAATAAGTTAACATCCAACTTAGACAAATGTTAATTTTTTTAACGAAAATTGATGAGTTTCGAACATATAAATAATTAGATGGTTATTTTGTAACTTTTAATAGTCGAGAGACTCAATTAAATAGCATCCTATTGTTGAAGGACCATTTTTAACTTTTAATAACCATAGGACTAAACAAAACAACAATCTATAGTCGATGAATCATTTACATATTTTACCTTTTATTTAATTGAAAGAAGTTTTAAAAAGCTATGCGTAATTTTTTTTAGATATACTTACGTGATTACAATGTGTTTAAACAATTATTTTCATTTCATTTAATTGTTTTTTTTTTTATTTCAATAAAATTTTCAGTCGAAAGAAATCATCAAATGACCTATCTTTTTCTTCTCTTTTTTTTTCTTTCTTTCAATTCAAACTCATTAAAAAATCTATCAAATCTCTTCAAATTCTAATCAAATTTCAATAGAAACTAAAAGTTAAATTTTTTTTATAAGTTAATATACATCGTTAGATCAACTTGAAACTAAGTTATATTGATCTTCTGCCTAAATGAATCCTCATTATTGAGATTTATCGACGATTATCGTTCATAAAAAAATTAACTTTGACAGAGACTGTAAATTTGAAACCTTAAAGTTTTTTTTTCTGTGAAGAAGACTTTAACATATCACTTCATTTTTTACTGGCAATGATCTTAATGAAAGTGAAGTATAGTGATTGTAACGTAAATTTTAAAAAGTTTGGTGAGTAAAGTGAAAGCACTCTAAAAATTAAATTCTTCTAGTGTGGTTTACCCAAAATGTTATTAAGGGGACAGCTCACCGGCACCGGGAGTTTGCTTGTAATTTTTTGTTATTCAATTTTTGTTAATTCTTGAATATATTTTATAGGCTTAATATTAAAATAAGTGCCTAAATTATACCTTAATTTTTAAATAGGTACCTATACTATTCTTTGACTCATCCAGGTGTAGATATGGCAATGGACCTTGGACCCGACCCGAATCCATAGATTCAGATCCATTTTATAGGGTCTGAATCCTAAAATTTTGGATCCGACAAATTCGAACCGGATCTGGATCCTCTAATTAAAGCATGGATCCGAATCTAGATCTAACACTAAAATATCAGATCTGTACTCGTTTACCCGTTTATAAAAAAGTCTATCTTTGATTTTAAAATATATATAAATCACATAATAGGTTTTAAAATATATACAAATATTTCATAGAGGGAGACGCATGAGTTATTATAGGGTTGATTTTTATACCCACTTTCTTTCTGAATTGCATTTACTTTGAGAGATTGTTATATACCCATCGGATAGTTGGAATTGTGTAATTGTGTTGGAGTTTTTTTTAGACTTTAGTTTATCGTTTTTTATTATGTTACTAGTTGTATTGAAATTAATCTTTCTTCCATTGGAAATGTGATGTGAAATTAGTCAATGACAGTTTTATTACGTTAAAAAATAGGTCGAATGATCTTTTTTTAACAGACCCATTTTGGACTCAAATCTATTAAATTCGTTGGATTTAGATCTGGGTCCCAATTTTGTTAAACACGTGGATCTGGGGCGGATTTGGATCCAGGATATGAAAATGAGTCTGACTTACAAACATTACTCATGTAGGTGCCTCAGTTCAAACTACCGTTAAAAAAACTGGTTAAGTGGCACGTGTCATAATCTGATAATTTTAAAAATTTATTTTTAAAAAAACTAAAAAATGTTTTATTTTTGAAAAAGGCTAACTTTTTTAAAAATATAAAAAAAAAACTCAAACTCCCTAAATCTCTTATTTTAGTCCCTTTACTTCAACCGCCAGTCATTTCTGGCCACCCATACGTCGTCGACCACCCAATTATTGGTCATAACCCTTGCTATCATCTCAAAACCCAAAAATTCCAAATCTATAAACTTCAATCCCTAATCCCTTAAATCCAAAATACCCAATCCCTTTGATCGATATGGTAATTAGTTGTTTATCCGACTGTGGCAGCTGACCCCTTGATCATTTGGTCGGCCGTTTGAATTTTGGCCGTTTGGCCATGGAAATAGAAACAACGAAAGGGGAGGGGAGGGAAAGCAGAGAAGGGGAGGGAGAAGGGAGGGGGGAGATTCACGCGGGTTTGTTTTTTGTTTTTTTAATAATATTTTTATTTTTTAAGAAAATAAAAATTTTAAAAATTTAAGATTGAAACACATGTCACTTAACCGGGCTATTTAACGGCCGTTACGACCAAGGCAACTAAATAGGTAACGTTTGTAACATTAGGCACTTGGATGAGTCAAAAAAATAGTTTAGACACCTATTGGGAATCAAGGTATAGGTTAGGAACTTATTTTGGTATTAAGCCATGTTTTATATAATATATTCGGGTATTTCAACGGTTGTTTGGATATAATTGATTAACCTTCTCCCAAATGACCATCAATCCCACGTCCAAACATGTTTTAAGGGATTTAGAGGTTTGTCATACAAATCATACTTAAAAGTTGTTGACTCTTTAAATTTACCATATAAAATTAGTTCAATCAAGTCTCTTTTGTTATTATTTCACATAAACATTCAACTGCTCCCAATTTTATGTTTGGTTTTTTGAAAAATAAAGTTTAAAAATTAATGATAATTTAAGTTTTGTATAAATGAATAAATAAAAATTGCAATTGTGGTCCAACAAGGATGATAAAGCCATTTTTTATTGGTGGGATATTTTATTTTATTAAAAAAAATCATGGTTACCTTCTAAAATAGGGCACATCTATGTTCCTCTCTGCTGGGGTTATCCCCATTAATTGGGTTTAAACTTGTGAAGAAATGACAACCCAGAAAATTTATCATCTTCTAGTTATGCCCATAAGGGATATAGAATTTTATGTCAATAAGTAAACTTTTAAAGTTATAAAGGAGAATGAATTTATAAAATAAAAAATATTGAAAGCATATAATAATTTATTTATTTATTTTATTAGTTTTAGGTGAGTACATGGTAATATATGTTTAAAGATAACTCTCAACCTTTTGACATTAAACGCTTATACCCCTGGTATTCCTGATGCTCGAACACGTGACCTCAAGAAATAACAATAATTCATTTACTACCGAAACCACTTGATTCGTGTATATAATAATTTAAAATGTTCAAAAAGATGATTTTCCTGCCACTTATTCCATCTCTAATTATACCTCCTTTTGTAATGATGCTCAGTAACAACATTATATAAATTAATCATAGCAAATCTGAGTAACCAAATTCTTTTAAGGGAAAAACTCAAATATTCACATAATTATTTCATTTATATTTAATATTTTTGTTTATAAATGCTTAACATTTAAATTAAAAGGGTAAACTATACATTTAGTACCTAAATTATTAGTTTTGATCCGTTTTAGTACCTAATCTTTGAATTTTTTTCAAAACCATACCTAACGTTTAGTTTTTGTTTCATTTTAGTACATCGTCGTTAAAAACTTAACACATTTAGTATCTAAACTAACAGTTTTGGTCCGTTTTAGTACCTAAGTTTTTTATTGTTTTCAAAACTTAATGTTAAATTTTGAACGGGTATCAAAATGAAATAAAAACTAAACTTTAGGTATGATTTTGAAAAGATTAAAAGTTTAAGTATTAAAACGGATCAAAACTGGTAGTTTAGGCAATAAGTGTATAATTTACCCAAATTAAAAAAACTAATTGTGTCCCAGTATCAAGAAATAAGAAAAATAAATAAATACTATTTATAATTTTATTTTAATTAAATATTATATTTTAAAAATTACCAAAATCAATTAAACTAAATCCGAATCAGTTCCTTTTAATCTTTCTCCGTACTCACATGAATCAACAGCACTACACATCCTTCAACCCAGAAATACATGTAAAGTGAAATCTGGAGAAAATAAAAAGATTAAGAGAAAGTGGAGAGACATAGAGGTTGGGAGATTTATTTTGTTCTTCTATATGTTTGTGTGCTGTTGAAATCCAGGAATTCTTTTCATTGGGCAGCTCACTTATTTTTTTATTATTTTTATCATTCACTAATTAATGTCATCTTCTTCAGGTTAGTGCTCTGCTTTTCAAGAATAGAAAATTGGGTTTCCCTCAGATTTGATTATAAGATTTGTTTTGTGGCGAAGAGCTTTGGGGAATCTTTTTCCCAGGCTCCTCTGTTTCTGGAGCTGTTACTGGTAGTACTCGAGTTTCGGGCCAACCAAGTTATCGGAATTCCAGCTTTGAAGTTCAGATCCACGTGAAAGCAGCTCATGTTTTCTGGGTGATCACTTTGTTAAATTTGATGAAGTTTTCCTAGAAAATATTTTTTTCCAAGAGTTACTTTCTTGGGAAACTAACAGAGTTTGTTTCGTAGTGGATCCTTCTAGGCACTTTAATACTAACTACTGATCTGATTGAAAACTTTCCTTTTTTACTGATTGAGAAGGGAATGGAATCAGATCTTCAACGCCGGAATCATTATCATCAACCTCAACAACATCAAAAACAGATGAACTCTGGCTTGACGAGGTACCAATCTGCACCCAGTTCATATTTTTCGAGTATTTTGGACAAAGATTTCTGTCAGGAGATTCTAAACCGGCCGTCGAGTCCCGAAACAGAACGAATTATCGCCCGGTTTCTATCGAGCGGTGACGATGCCGGTGGCGGAACCGGGGATAATCCGGAGAACGTTTCCGACCAGAATCTCGGCTCGATAGTGAAAATCGAGCCGCAGATTATGACGCAAATGAATAATCAAACCGGGGTCATTCATCCGCAACAGCAGCAGGGGAGCTATTCCTCTGTTCCACTGAATTTTTATCAAAGCCAACCAAATTCAACCATGGATTACCGGGTTCCGAGCTCGACGAAAATGGAAAATTGCAATAATTCGAGTCTTATTCGGCATAGCAGCTCCCCTGCAGGGCTATTCTCAAATATCAACATTGAAAATAGTAAGTCTTTTTTGAATGTTTCATGGAAGTACATACAGATCTTCATTTTAGAGTTTGATTAATATGATTACTAGGTTAATTGTATGAATTGAGATCTTCAAAATCTTATGAAGTTGCAGGCTATTATGGAAGCATTAATAGCAGTAACATAGAATCAGCACTTCCTCCGGCAAGCAGGCCGCCTCCCTCTAGGGTAATGAGTCCGAAACCGAGCTCCGACAACGCTGGACTACTGAGTCAAAATCTTCACAACAGTTATTCCTCGGGGTTTCAGGTTTCTTCTTGGGACGACTCGATGATGGTTTCCAATAACATGTCCGGCGAAAAAGGACTCAACAAAGACGATCAATCGATTTCCGGCTTCGATTTCGACAGAACAGAAACTCAGGTAGTACACATTTAATATAACGAGGCCTTTGTCGCATACATCAGAAGTATTCCAAGCTAACAACGGCTCTATGTGCGCATTTTTTGGTTGAACTGTAATAGAACACTATGGGGGTCGGAAACCATCCGCCGCCGCTTTTGTCTCATCATTTGAGTTTACCGAAGAGTTTGCCGGATATGTCGGCCATCGAGAATCTGCTGCAGTATCAGGATTCGGTTCCGTGCAGGATCCGGGCCAAGAGAGGGTTTGCCACTCACCCTAGAAGCATTGCTGAGAGGGTACCGTTTCTCAAGACCTTCGTAACATTATATCCTTTCCCCATTCCAATTGCATTTTTGCATAGAACTTCAACCGGAAACAATAATGCAATTGAAACCTGAAAAATAGACAACTTTTGATCTTTATTTCAAGTTTGTTTCCATTCAGGTTAGAAGAACCAAAATAAGCGAACGCATGAGGAAGCTCCAAGACCTTGTCCCAAACATGGATAAGGTACAAACTTCTTGGTTCATGCATGCATACATACATGGGATTTTCTTTGGGGAAACTGACGTTTTTCTCTTCTATGTTTGAAGCAAACAAACACTGCCGACATGTTAGATTTGGCTGTTGATTATATCAAAGACCTTCAAAAACAAGTGGAGGTATGTTCAGGGATAGATCGAAGGGTTGAAGAGCAATCATCCTTAGAAATTTTTAAATTTTCACATAATTTAATGTTTTTATATTTTTATTCATGATCTGATTTCATTCTAAAATTTTATAATTTATTCTCAACATCCGTTTTTAAATATGTTTAAAGTGGCATCTAAATGAGAACACACCAAACCCTTTTTTGATATTTCCATTTTTGATTCATTCATCTTCTTTTGATGTTTTCAGACACTCTCGGAGAATCGAGCAAGGTGTTCATGTGGTTACAAGCAGCAGCAATAATATTTATCTAAAATCCAAACTCTTGAAATTATGATAGAAACAGATTCCACTGTAGCCACGTGTTTTTTATGTTGTAATTATGATAGGACTTTTAACGTTTAATTGCTCTTTGCTTGCTTTTCTTTAGCCTTTTTTTTCCTTGTATGTGTTTTCATCTTTCGACCGACATAATTCACGTGGAAGAAGGAAGAAAAATATCCGAAGAAAATATCGGACCTTTTTGTCTGATCTCTGCCATCAATGATACCGACTTTGTACAGAAGGGGAAACAAGAATCTGTCAAAAAAAAAAACATATTCCTAATGAGAAAATCACGAGGGTTTCATTATTAGGTGTTAGTCAAACTTTAATTTTTTTTTCAAAAAAGTAATACTCCTTTTTTCTATAAAAAAAAAACTCCTTTGATTGATTCAAATAACTTATTAACTTAAATAATAAAAATGCAATTAACTAATAAAAATGTACATGTTCGTGTTTCATAAATAATTCATTAAGTAATAGTTTGATTGGTGAAATTCAGAGTTTTGCTGGGATCTTGGAGCAGTCGGGGGAAGCCAATTATTTGGCTGCGCACTACGGAACAACCGTGTACGATTAGGTTATTACTAAATATTAATTGCAACAATCTGTGATAAAATTATAAAGGTATAATTCTAAAATACACCCCCAACATTTTACAGCGGTGTCATTTTGACCTCTATCTTTTTTTAGCACATTACCTCTTAATGTTTCATATATGATCAGAAAACCTCTCATTGGATGAAAATTACTAGTTAACTAACGGTCAATATTTGGATCTGACTCAATAAATGTATAGCGAGATGCTGATATGACATATCCACATCAAAATAGGATGACATGATAGTCTATCATATCAATTTTTTTTTAGAAAAAATATTTTAAATAATGTTTGTATTAAATTATTTACAATCAATTAGAAAGTGACACATATTTATATTTTTTATTAAATTCAAAAATAATTATAAATCAAAATATTTATTTCATAATTTAAACAAGGATAAACTATATAAATAATCCACTTTGTTTTTGGTCTGACAGACTTTGTCACCAATTTAAAAATTAAATGTAAATGGTGCTTAACATTATCGATTCATTCGATTTTAGTCTCTCAGTTGTTAACTCATGTTAATCCCTTAACGAATATGTTATGTGGCAACTAATTTTTTATTAAAAAAACTCACATGTTGCATGTCTTATTCACTAGACGAAAACTCACCATTTATTGTAACTCCTCAAAACCTCCCTAAAACCCACCTTTTACAAAAACCCCCATCTTTATCGGAGCAACTCCGGCCACTTTCGACCACCACGCTTTCCAACAAGGACCAAGCTCGTCTCTTATTGAAGCCAAAGTCTACATGGGTGAACCACATCAAGCCTAAAAGATTTGTTCTTTCACTTCAAAGGCAAGAACATTCTCCTTGTGCACACAATCCCAAAGTCATGGAGCTAAAGCTTTTTTGCAAAGAAGCTGAGTGATTGCAGTGAAGATGATTTCCTAAGAGTTCTTGATGAAATTCCACTTGAACATACTCGAGAAACTGCACTTCTGATCCTTAACAGCTTGAAACCGTGGCAAAAGACTCACATTTTCTTTAACTGGATAAAGACCAAGAATTTGTTTCCCATTGAAACCATATTTTACAATGTCACCATGAAGTCTTTGAGGTTTTGGAGGCAATTTGAGCTCATTGAGGAGCTTGCTAATGAAACGATAATCAATAAGATCCTACTTGATAACATTACTTATTCAACCATTATTACTTATGCCAAGAGATGCAATCCCTTTGATAAGGATGTAGAATGGTTTGAGAAAATGTATAAAATTGGTTTGATGTTTGATTAAGTCACTTATTCTATCACAACCTCGATGCCTCATTCCACAATGCACATACTCTAGATACGATAATTCTATATTATAACCTCTCGCGCTCGCCATAGGTGGTAAAGGTAGCGATCTCCAATAAGACCCTACTTCAAGCCTCCAACTCAATTGATGCAACTAAACTGATGTTACCCTCATTTTCTCATGAGGATCTTTGGATCTCTTGGCCACTTGATTGAGTTAAGTCTATCGGTATCGAAGTCCACCCATTTTAGCCTATCGTTATCGTCTACCAAACTCATCTTTATGTTTTATACCCTATCCACGACCTTAACCTATCATGTCAACTCGGAGAAGACTTTAGATAGGATCGTTACCACTATGTATGAATATCTATACAAGGCCCTTAAGTTACATTCTGCACCTTAAGGAATCGATTGAAAACAAATCTGAAGTATATCAAGTTTAACCAAAGGAAATCTCTCTTGTACTCGAGCATCGTACAATCTCCTTAACCGGCTAGAAGGACTGTAACCTCAAGATGCCCTCAAACGCTTGTCGATATGTTATCCCTACACCCACTTAGAGACTGATACTGTGTAGGCATCTTAGGTTGTAGAGATATCTCTACAGTCTTCTACCAGTTGATAGCGTCACCCATGAGCACAACAATGACACATCCAAACCTACTCTCAGAGGTAAAGTGAGGTTGTTTCAAAGTCCTCATGGTTTCTCTCAACCACTAGTTGACCAAAATCGAGTCATCATCAACTAAACTGTATAACTTCAATGTCTTAAATCTCATTAGCTCATCTACCAAAGACTCTATTGGTGTTGTCACAATCAGAGCAACCAGTTAAGCAGCCTATGCTTTACAAAAAAGTCCACTACATCCTTGAGTGTTGAAGTAAATCCTCTAAAGAATGATGTCTTAATGACTCTCACTAACATCAGAACCTTGTGATCCCTTACCCTAAGTACGAACTCATCGCTAAAATTATTGGGATGAGAGATACGACTTCTTATTAGTGTTATAAATGAAACGAGACAGATTGCGAGCTACTCGAGATTGACTCGGTCAAGGCTCGATAAATACTCGGATCGAATGGACTCTACTCGAACTCGAGCTCGACTCGAATTCTTAATGAGCCGAAACGAGCTACTTGATACTCGACTCGAAAAGCTCGTGAGCAGCTCAAAAATATAATATATTAAGATTTTGTTTAAAAAAAAATAAATTATTAATAATATTAACATTTATGTGTTGATTTTTTTTAAAATATAATAAGGGTTTCATGTATTTAAGGTTTAGGTTCAAGTTTGAGGATTCAATCTTGTTAAGTTTAAGATTTTTTTTCATTTCGAGCCTTTTCGAGCTGCTCATGAGCTTCAGTTCAGGATTTCGAGTTCGAGTCGAGCTTAAAAATTTTAAGCTCGCGAGTTTTCAAGTCGAGTCGAGCTCAATTTCAGAGTTTTCGAGTCGAGTCGAGCTCAGCAATACTCGAGCTCGACTCGGCTCGTTTACACCCCTACTCCCTATCCTACCACTGAGATTACTCTCAGAAACCATATCCATCACCATTTCGTAAACACGTTTACAAAGAGAAAGCACCATAAGGATTTCAGTCTTATAAGAGAATTTTCAATACCTAAGGACGTGTATTCACTGACACCTTACTATAAATGACCACTAGGTCCTAGGGCTGACTCAGCCTGATTCTCTGGTACCACTAAATGTAACACCCAAATCTGAATCTGACCCGAATTCAGAAATCTAAGTGTTACACATAACCACCAAGGCGGTTAACCGTTAAATTTAAAACCTAAATTTTCTTTTTATTTCAAAATACGATATGATTACCAAAATAGACATCCAAAATAGTATTAAAATCTTTTCATAAATCTAAGCTCCATGACTCATATTTTTAAATCAAATAATACAACGTAAAGTTTTTAACTCCAAATACACAATTAAGGGTCCTATGAATACACATGCCCACTAAATAACCATATAGTACTCTAGAAGAAATGTTGGAAACCCTGTTGCGACGGTGCTCATCAAACAACTCAAGCTAAATAACCTACGAACGAAAACATCCAAACCATGAGCTTATAAAGCTCAGCAGTATAATCGTTAATCTAAAGCAATATATGAATCTCATCAGCGTAATCATGCTAAATGACATGGTAATAAGTTGTAGGTACATGCATAATCTTAATCAAGTGGTACATGCTTAAGGTTTAAATATTTCTATCACTATAGTTTGAGTCTCATGCTTCTCTTTGTCTTCTACTAAGAGCCTCGCCATGAGTGTATATATGTATATTGTGTCTTTAACCACAATACCAAATAATGACATAATGCAATAAGCATGATACATAGCAAAATATTGAATATACAAATATATACATATAGTGGCATTGTCATCGATTAACGAATACGTCATAGCACTGGTACTAAAGTGCCTCAACATTGATACGGAAGTGCAGTAGCACTGATACTAAAGTGCCTTAGCACCGTTGGGAATATATATGGATATTTCACATACATATACTTTAGACGATCGTTATACATACAAGTAGCTCGGGTGTCCTTATCGTTTCCCAAGTTTCAAACAAATGCATAAGACTTATGGAATTTTACTTCATAATATTTTTATGGTTATCACATATATAACATTATTTTTTACCCTTTATATCATAATTATTATCAATTAAAACACAAGTAGGTGAGATTGTTCCCTCACCTGCTACTATCTTGCTCGTTCTCTCACTTAGAACGTTATACAAGAGCTTATTAGAGAAATATTAGTGGTTCTAGACCCCTTCCTAAACCCTTAAATCAAAGTTGGGTTTATTTACCAATTTAGTACGATGGTAGCAATACTAAGTCCTTTAGTATTGATACTCGCCTTTCAATATCGATCTTACCTTAGGTATCGATACCAAATATGGCTACTAGAATTTATAACTCAGCGTTGGTATCAATACCTCATCCTTTGGTATCGATACCTGACGAATAGTATCGATACTTTATGAATAGAATATCGATATTACCCAATAAAACCCTGATATTAGTCATTTATAATATTCTTACTAAGTCTTCATAAACAAGGTTTCATTATAGAGGTAAACGTCTCATATCATTATTTAACCAATATGCAACTCAAACTCTTACTAGTGTAGACTAATTTATTCGTATGATACCTAATTTCTCTATTACATTATTCGTATATTACACCACCTCTCTTATAAGGATATCATTCACAATGATCTGTCG